TGATATCATTACTCGTGTATTTTAAATTATTGAAATTCACAAGTGTGAATCCAAAACTATCTTTCTTGCAACCTCTATTGATATCAACCCAATCACATTTAAATAGCACAAGCTTAAATCTACTAGAATAATCCAATTGAATAATGTTTGTCAATGCACCATAGTAATTGATTTCACCCTCAATAAACCGCCTGACCCGTGCACTAGCATAGCTCATAGTCTTAACAGTCACAACAACCCCACTATTTTGGCTTTTCAAGAACCTCTCACATCATTTTATGCAAAACCTGAAACCATTAATGATATAGCCTGACTTCTTGACACTTCAGTTGAACCACGAGCTAACCATCTAATTTCATCATTAACTTGTTCATTCCCTTGCTCAACCATCCATGCAACCTAGTACATTTTATAAATGATTAATGTATATACCTAAAGTGTAACTACTAAGTAGGAAAACACATCATCTAAAATTATGTTTACCCTCTTACGAAACCACTCATGAAAATATTGACTTTGAATCTTCTCGATTTCATATTGTGATAGGCGACATCCACGAGTTTATCTCTTAATAACTGAAGCATGTTGTCTACATTTAAAATGCCATCAACGGAAGTAAATCCAAAGACTATCTATACCCCTAGGCAACAACAAAAAAGAAAAAAAAAATGTGAATTATACTTATTCTCAAAATAGGGTAATTGCGTTATAGTTGAAAAGCACATATCGATGTGCTTGTATCAATGTTTTCTTGTCAATGACAACACATTGCATCCTTTTTCGCTTTTTTACATTAAACTCATGTCGCCCCTTTTGACCTACTGGTCTTCCAGGAGTATATAAGAGAGATGTCTATGTTTCTAAATAACAATTTGGTTCATCATTTCGTCTAGGTCGGTTAAACCTAGTATCAACTCCTAATAGGTATTGTGAATAAAAGTTCAAGCACTCATGTGCCAAATACCCCTCTAGATTTGCTTTATTACGCACAAAGGATTTAAGTGTAAGAAGGTACCTATATGTACACAATTTGAAAAAACGGTTATAAGTAATTCAAATTTTTAAACATTATAAGGTATAACTAGAAATATAAGAAAAAATTAAGCTATACCTCTCAATATGATACATCTATCGGTAATGTACTGGACCACCAACTTTAGCCACAGAAGCTAAATAAATTACCAAATATAATAGTGAAAAAAGAGGGAGGAAAAATCTTCTCCATCTAATAAATTGTGATTGCAACTCGAGATTCAAGTCACTCAAGATCATGTAAAATAAGAACCTTAGAATAGATTTTCTTGAAAAAATGACAAATTATAACTGAACTCACTTTATTAGGAAAAGACCCTTTATGGCTATAAGAAGAAGTTCGTGCATCAAAACATGACAATCATAACTTTTGAGGCCTATGATCTTGCATTGTTTGAATTGCACATAATGTGAGATATTACAAGAATATTCTTCTGGAACTCTTACATTCTTGAGAACCTTCAAAAAATCTTCTTTCTCTTTTGAAGTCATTTGGTAACAAACTCTAGAAAAGAATTTGGTATTACTACTAGGGCGTGTCTTTAGATGAAGTACACTTCTTATACCCATATTTTCAAGGTCACGTCGTGCTTTGTAATTATCATTGGTTTTCTTCTCCTGATTCAACAACATGCCAAGAATATTATCACAAACATTTTTTCTATATGCATGACATCAACATTACGGTGCAATAGATGGTATTCCCAATAAGGCAATGTAAACAAAATGCTCTTCTTCCATGGTTGTGGCCCATCTACATTTGCATATTCAATGGAGGATCCAAGGTTCTCTAATTGCCTTAACACTATAGTACCAGAAGGAGGCTTAGGTGCACTTTCCAATTTTTCATTTCCATCAAAAGCCTTGCTATCGTATCTAAACTTATAGTTTTCCTCTAACCATCGACGATGACACATGTAACAATATTTTTTGCTATGATTTAACCATAAAGAGGCAATTTCAAAACCACAAGAGGGGCATGCATATTTTCCTTTAGTACTCCATCCAAATAAGTTAGCATATGCAGGAAAGTCATTTATAATCCACATCACTGTTGCATGCACTCAACAGATTTCTTTTGTGAAAGCATCAAAAGTTCCATTCCCAATTTCCCACAACTGTACCAATTCTTCTATCAAATGTTGCATGTATACATCCATCTTATTATGGATGCTTCATGTGGATTATAAATGACTTTTGATGCACATCCATGGAGGTCCTAGGAACAAGCAATAAGAGTATGAAATATGGATGCTTCATGCACATCCATGGAGGAAAATTGTAAGGGATTAATATAACAGGCCATGTGCTATGAGTAATGCCCATAGTCTTGAATGGTTTAAAGCCATCAGAACTTAACCCTAGACGAATATTACGAAGGCCGGAGGCAAAATCAGGATATCGAGAACCAAATCCTTTCCAAGGTAAGGAGCCTGCAAGATGCCTCAAGAGTCCATCCTCAGTTCGACCCTCCTCATGCTACCTCATGAAGAAGTCTCGCAACACAAGAAAAGTCTATGCAATCTTGGTTTTAGGGGAAACCAATGCAAGATCTTTGCAAGTATCTTCTTTCTCTTTCCAATTGTAGACTATTCATTAGATTCTACATCTTCAATGGTTGGTTTCCATCTTGAACGCCCACACTCAGAACATGATTTGTTGTTAGCATTATCCTTCCAATGCAACATGCAATCACCAAGGCAAGCATGGATCTTTTCAAACCCAAACCTAACCCCGAGATGAGCTTCTTTGTATCATAGTATGACTCTAGTAAGGTATTCCTATCTAGCAATGCATCTCTTAGTATCTCCAATAACATAGAGAATGATTTGTTACTCCACCCATGAATATATTTTATGTGGCACAAATGCATAATGAATGACAACTTTGTGTACTTTGTGCAATTTGGGTAGAAATTTCGTTCAGCATCTTTCAATAACTCATAAAACTTATCTATAGTGCTCCCCCCTCTAGGTTATCGAATACCTTGTTCTTCCATTATCTCTCTCCTTCCATATTAACATCTCGACCCTCATCCACTGTATGCATTTGAAAAACATCTTGTAAGCCAAGTTAGCTTGGGTACCTCGGGCACCTTGACCAAGACCGAGGTCTGAGCAGCTCGCAATGGCCTGACCAGCTGAGGTGACACATAGCCAACTAGAAGCAAACTAGTTGTCTCCGAACTCTCCGGGATCACGTCACACGCCTGCCTTATCCTTATCCTACCTAGATCAGGTGGACTCAATAAGCCTTATCAAGTAGCACGAATTTCACCTCTTGGCATAAAACAGATTCCTAGTAGTGCTGGATGAAGATCTCATAAATGTTTCGTGAGACCTACGGTAGCTCACCTATATAAGGGCACCAACCCCAACGTCTTAAGGTACGCGCGATTTATTGCTCACTAGCCTACTTGCTATCAAGCTTTCAGCTTACATTACTAACTTAAGCATCAAAGTGCCCAGACCGGGAAGACATCCCGAGCCCTCTAAACATTGTTTTCTTGCAGTTCGACTGGCTAACTAAGCAACTAACGTCCAAGCTACCCTCCAACTAAGAGCATCCAGATCATGCACCATCAGGTCCCATGCTACATTTTGGATTTTATTGTTCATCCAAAACGTAGGCATACAAACAATTAACATTTGGCTCCTGTACACCTTCACTACCTTAATTCTAATGAAGTAGCTCCATTTAGCAACCTCATTACGCTAAGGTTCATAAGGATCTTCAACTAAGGAGGCTAGCGCCATTGTAACGTTTCTTGTTAAGATAACCAATGGGTAGGGGTGGCCACTAGCTGAGCTCTTCACGAGCTACTTGAGTTCGTCTTGGCTCAATTTCAATTGAGCTCGAGCCCAATTTATAGGTTCATTTATTAATTGAGTCAAGCTTGAATAGCTACATAATAATAATAATTATTATTATTATTAATTATTATTATTATTATTATTATTATTATTATTATTATTATAGAATATAATATATATAATAAAAATATTATATATATAATATTTTTAGTTTTATATATAATAATAACTAATTCTTATAATTCTTAATTTTTTAAATATCAAATAAAAAATATTTTTACATATAATTTTTTATTTTTATAAAATATATTTCTCAAGTCAAGTTTGAGCTTACGAGCTTTTGACTTGAGTCGAGCTCTAGCTCAAGGTTCCAGCTCGAATCAAACTCGAATTCAAGCCTCATACTACCTTGGTAAACCGAGCTCGAATAACTAGCTATTCGGCACGGCTCTTCTCGAATTCACCCCTACCAATGGGTAGACCCAATGTGTACAACCACAAATCAACTCTATCTAATTTGTAGGCATACAAAAAAAGTATCATGCTGTGCCTTTGTCATGATCACGTAATCATCATATATAGTCCAGGGTCCCTTGCTACCAAAGACACCATCTCGATCATTAGGTGTTGGAAACTTGGCACAATAAGTATCATCAATAAATTCAGCACAATAAGTATCTAATTTGTAGGCATACAAAAAAACTTTGTCATGATCACAGTCGTACTCTTTCTATGAATGGGTATCACCTTCCCTCCTTTAGGTTGGAATGGTTTTTGCGTATAAGAGGTTTCTTTTGTATAAGAACCACATTTTACACTATATATAGAACTGTAGAAGCTCTATCATTTAATACTTAGGCTGAGTTTGGAAGGAATACAAATGCAAATATGTAAAGTGCAAAACCTTATATTTTATATGCATTTATACTGTATATATTTGCATTTGTACTCCTTCCAAACTGAGCCTTGTAGTCAATGGGCATTAACAATGAAATATATAAAAAATCTGAACTACATTGAACTTGAGTGTATGGCTTGAATAGGCCTGGCCAAATTTAATTACCCTGATTTGAAGTTATTCCAAACTTACAAATTTTAATTCCATCTATTGCTATCTACCAATCCACATGTTAGATGTTATAATACAACAGTAAATTATCAAATTATCCACTGGATTTTAATAAAAATTCATATATAGTTAATGCATGCCCATAAAAGAACAATTTTGTTTAGACGTACCACACCATATCACAAAATAAAATAATGCTAAACAAAACGTTGGAAGCACAATAACAAACAAATTTAAAGCATATAAAAAATTCTTCAAGGATGCCTCCTTCTAAATCTCCCAACGATTACTTGCATCAAAGCTTCCCAACTGCCCATCAATCATCAAAAAATGAAAAGCATAATTACAAAATTAATTGAAATCAATCTATGACTTATCATGGCAAACTTCAGTCCTATTCAGAATCAACCATTCATTAACACAGAAAAGGGCTGTAGTCCAATAGACTTATAAGCCTTGAGATAGGAGAGCTTCTCTTTCAAACACGTGGCAAGGTTTGCTACTAAGAAGAATGGTAGGACTAAATAAATTATAAATTTATAATTCAGTGTAAATGCCCACATTATGGCCAATTCTGTAAACAGGTCGGATTTCAACCCTTAAGGTTCAGTTTGGAAGGAGTATAAATAGTAAAAAACAAATATGTAGAATGCAAAACCTTATTTTTTGTATTATATTGTATGTAATTTATACTGTACATATTTGTATATTTGTACTCTTTCCAAACTGAGCCTAAATATCTAGAGCTGATGTGAACTTGACCCAGTTCATGCTCATGCCATGGACCATATCATGGCACCATCATGCTACAACGAACATACAATGTCATGGCTGAACCCCATGCTTTGTAAACAGAGCAAGTAAAGATTAAAATACTGGTTCTAATGATGACTATAGGAGAACTAAGACTAGTCAAATAGAAAATAAAATGGTCTAATAGCTTAGAGGAAGGTTGGATTTCAATTTGATTAGTTGGGTTTTAGTTGGGTTGATTTTCAAGTGACAGATTTCGACCTAAACATGTTATTACAGAACAAAATAATAAGGTGATAAGAAAAAGCAGAGCACTGGATACCTGCATCGTCCCAGACAGTTTCTTTACCCTTCCCTTGGATAAAATTCAAGTTCACCTTGTTACTCTAATAGCCGATCTGATCAAAATGATGGTTACCGTCAGATTCATGGATTTGGTGCTATGAAATAAAAAAAGAATTAATTAAACTTTTTTTCCGAGTATGCAATTGCAATACCATTTAGTCATCAAGATCTCAAACATCCATTCGCCTCCGTCCATTGAACAGATTCATAAAATGAGCAAAATTGGAATATGTTCGATTCTGTGATGATCATTACCTCTCGGTCGTAGTCTTCCCTTAAATTCATTTGGCATTTCCAAGAACAAGAGCATTTTTAGCTCATTGAGGTGTTCAATGCCTAATGGTGCATTCTCCAGCATTTCACAACCACTTATGTACAAGTTTTCGAGTTGAGGCAGTGCTGCCTCTTCTATTGTCACCATTCTCAATCTTTCTAATCTCTCAAGGCCTAGATTCTCAAGTTTCTGAAACCCTCCCGATTGAAAACATAATTGTTCTCCATCGTAAGCATGCATGAGATTAAGACGCTTAAGCTGAGGCAAACATTTTAGGGCTTCAAGTGGGTCATCCTTCATTTTAGACCACCTTAAGTCCATCAAACACAAATTATGCAACGAAGGAATCCAATGGGGTAACTTCTCTAAACGCCCTTTTAAAAGTAAAGTTCGAAGAAAAGGAGGAGGAGAAGATAGAAATTGTAGGTCAAGAATCTCTCCCTCTTCTATTGCAGAAATAGATAAAGATTGAAGGCAGTTCATGTTCTCCATTGAGGAGCAAAGGTTTACTCCATCTTCTCTTTTTAACTTGTGAATCCCCAATCGTCTCAATTGGACTAATCTCCCAAGTGTTGTAATTAGGTCACTCCCTGTACTCACATCTATGTAGCATAGCTTTTGAAGAGATTCCAAATTTCCAATTCCACTTGGCGCCTTAAATCCTTGATGATGAAATACAACATGAGGTCCAAAGTTGTAACGGTAAACAAGAAGATGTCTTAGTTTATGGAGGTCGAGGATTCCAATGGGCAACTCAGACACATAGGTTTGTTTAAGATCCAAGGTCTCAAGATTTTGGAGCTTCTTGATGGAATTTGGAATCTCTTTCACCATAGTTTTCCTCAAACTTAAATACCTTAAATGGAAAAAATTGGTGAATTCCTCTGGAAACTCCTCCAAAGGGGCAACTCTCAAATCCAACACCTTGAGCAGCTTTAGGCTAGAAAAAAACGCACCATTTCTATATATGTTGGACAATGTATCCACCCTAAACATGAACAGAGAGCGAAGGTGGGTGAAGTTCTGTTCTGGTGCTACTTCTTGACAACTATTATGGATTGATAGGCGTCTGGTTATTTTACCTACCATTATTATATCCTGCTCATCATCATCACCATCAATTATGGTTCCAAAGTTCTGGTCCTTCGCTTTCAAGAGAATGATTTTTCGGATGAGGTCATGGACTCTGCATGTTTTGATTCGTCCATCATAAGTTGTTTCTGTTACTTGGATGAGGCTTCTATTAACAAGCTCATACAAATAGCTCTCTCCAACCTCTTCTAAGGTCTTTCCTTGTCTTCTTTGGATAAATCCTTCTGCCATCCATATCCTAATCAGTCTCATCGTCTCTATAGATTCATCCTCAGGAAAAATACTTAAACACAAGAAACCGGATTTTAGATGGTAAGGCAGATCATTATAGCTTAGAGACAATATTTTCATCACGCTCCTAAGTCTGTCATCATTTTGTAGCTCACCACCCAAGCTGCGATCGAACATCTCCCATTCTGTCAAAGTCCTCTGTTTTGTTGATAAAACACCACCGACTGTCACAATTGCTAGTGGCAAACCTCCACATTTCCTCACAATGCTTCTAGAGAGCTTCTCCAGTTGTGGAGGACAGTTATTCTCATCCACAGACCAAAAAGTCTTTTTGCAAAATAGAGTCCAAGACTCTTTTTCACACAAGGGTTGAAGACGATATGTCTGAACGAAATAGTTGTTGCAAGAAGCAGCTATATCATCAGAACGTGTTGTGACTATTATTCGACTCTTACAGTTGCAATCAATAAAGATATGCCTAATGGAGTCCCAATCAAATTTGCTCCACATGTCATCAAGAACGATTACATACCTCTTCTGCTTCAGAAATTCCTTGAGTGCTAGCTTGAGTTCTGTCTCCTTCATTCCATCTAACCTTTGAGGAACTGGCTCCTTACTTTCTTCGCAGAGTTGCCTCATCATGTCTTTCAGTAATTCATCAAGCTTAAATGACTGGGATACAGAAATCCAGATGTGGATGTTGAAGTATACCTTCACTCTTCTATCATCAAATGCTTGCTTGACAAGCGATGTCTTGCCTACTCCACCCATGCCAACCACCAAAAGTACTCCAAGGCGTGGACTGCCCTTCACAAGAAACTCAATGATTTCCTTCTTTGGTTTGTCAATCCCCACAAGATCAGCTTCCTCGAGTAGAAGAGAGTCTCCTCTGAGGTCATACCAAGTATCACTCGCAAAATTTGAATTCGGGCCTTGATCCAGCCTACCGAAATTAAATCGTTGGAGTCTTTGTGAGATTTCATCTACTGTAGCTTTAATCTCTAGTATCTGTGGGAATATCGGATGCCTTCCTATCAACTGTTTGATGGAAAGGGTGACCTTTTGAAAGAAACTGAAAACAATACCTTGAAGAAAGACAAGCAGTTGGTGCTGCCGTTGTTGCTCTTTTTCTTCTTCTTCTTCTTCTTCTTCTTCTTCTTCTTGCTGCTGTTGTTGTTGAGCAAGCTGAAACATGTATTCGTCAAGAACGTCCTCTATGTAATGAGCCAGATCTATAAGTTGCTTCACCCAATCTTTTACGGTTTGATTCATTTCCTCCCCTGCATCGGCACCTCTTAGGAAGACTCTCATGCTTGCCAATTCATTTCTGATGTACTTAATTTCCTTTTCGACACCTCCGAAATGATGCAGCTTTTCATCGATCAAATCCTCTAGTTTGTCCAGTAAAAAGTTCACGGCACTCTCCGCCATTTCTCTTTTTTCTCTTACAAGATGGTCGATCTACTTTTGTGTTTCAGACTCTGCAATACTGATTGGATTGAAGAATAGTTTGAACATCTGAGAAGGGCTCTCCATTACAGTCCGCTTCAAGAGAGGAATTATATATTAGTAAAATCTGAACAGTTGACTTTGAATAACACTCCTCTAAGCTTGAGTCGTTAGATTATAATCTAATGGACAGCTCAAGCAACTGGACGAATTGGATGGGTGGAAAGGTTTGTGTGATGTTTCTATATATTTTACAGAATTACAGTCCATGGAATTTGCAGTAAGAAAGCGAAGGTACGAAACAAAAGGCTGTGTGAACCACTTTTGCTTCTTGGGTCACAGTCAGGGGTGGAACAGGAAGGACATTGGGCGTCTGGTTTTTCTACTTGACCTGGGAAGAATTTTTCTGCGAAGAGAATGAAATGGCTAAATCTTGGTTCCAATAGGCCTGTCCCTCATTAATAATATTATCCTATTTTCCTGTATTGAACTCTGGATTTTGGCTAGATCTTATTACCAATTGATCAACCATCAATGGTACAAATTAAAAGGGTCCACCATATCATGCATATAATTGCAATTGCAACCTATTATTTTGCAATTACCCATTTTCATCCTCAGTTTGAAAGGAGTACAAACACAAATATCAAGTGCAAAATCTTGTATTTTGTATGTATTTTTACTATACATATTTGTTTTTTGTAATCTTTTCAAATTGAGTCATAGGCTCCATTTGAAAATGATGCAAATAAGTGTGAATGCAAATATAAAGAGGGTAAAATGGTCCATATAAATTGTAAAGTTGGATTAATTTTGCACCGACTAATTTATCTTCTTACCAAAGAGGCTTTTAAATGTAAATGGATGCAAGACACAAATTCCAATAAAGCATGACTTTTCTTTTATAAAATCCTACTTTAATGCAAATATACTTTTTTTATTAATATATTTGTACATCTTATTATCAATATAAATATGTATTGGAAAATGTGTTTTTTGTCATTTGTCAATACATAAATGTAATGTTGTCAAACACAATCAACCTAATTTACACTCCCTTTGCACTGTTTTCAAACACAGCCTTAGTAAGAGTTCAAATACAAATATAAATATGTTTAATGTAAAACCTTGCTTAGGGTATTTCTAACTCCACATCTTGTATTTACACTATACATTTTTTTATTTGTACTCTTCTCAAAGTGAGTACATCGGTGGTGTTTTACTTCGAACCAAGGTGTTTTTTTATGTTTTTTTTTTTTTTCAAAATCAATTCAGAGGGATTGGTTTAAGTCCCGGATACCCTCTGAAACATGGTCTGGCCCGATACAACCCCTATAGGGGTGTATCGGGAAATTATCGGCACGATACGGACCGATATGTATTGATACTTTGAACCTTACATCAAATTGTAAAAAAGTGACCATTGAGCTTCAAAAAGCATGACAAGAAAAGCATGGAATTTTACATTGATTTTATTGTTGTAGTATTATCCGTGTAAAACTTTACTTTAGATGAAGTTTTAGATCAATTTACGAAGTAAAACTCCACTCCACAGAAACACGAATAAAACTGAATCGGAGTAGAGTTTTACATATGGATTTTCAATGTAATGCTTACGCTTGTAATAGATGTGGTTTGCTGAAATCTCAAAATGTGATCATGCGAAATGGATAAACAAACAAGCAACACTACTCAAGCTGCTCTCGAAGGCCAAAGCATATGCTTGTAGTGGGCCAAGGATTCTCTTATGCCTAATTGAGCAAAGGTAATAGGGGAGTACTGCTGAAAGTTAATGTTGATGGAGCTATGGCTCAGCATGGTGTGAGTTTGGAAATAATTGTAAGAAACTCTGAAGGAAATCATGTGTGCAGAGGAGCATCGTATTTTAGTCCAAGATCAGCTGTTGAAGCAGAAGCTATAGCCTTCAAGGAAGGTATTCTTCATTGTTCAATTCGAAAATGGAGTTGAGCCTCCGTCAACAATCAATTCAATATTTGAAGATTGTATAGATTCCTGAGCAGAAAGTTCCCATTCATTAGAAAGTTCACATTCGCGAAAGATTGTATAGATTACTGAGCAGAAAGTTCCCATTCAATACAGTCAAACAAGTAGTTAATAAGGTGGCTGAAGCCCTTACAAAGTATGTAGTTGTCTTCTATGAGTCAAACCTGAAAAACCAGGGCTCTATATTTTGTCATTGCTATTCTCGAAGCTGAAGACAATGAAAAAAAAAGGCTCGGTTAAGTCGGTTTGTGTGCACCGAGTTTCATTTGCACTGATGTCCATCAGAGTGCAAATAGGTCAAGTCATGGTTTTGAAAATAGGACTAAACTGGATGGTTGGACTGGTTGATCAGGAACAGTCCAGACAATCGGTTCTGTTTCACCCTAAAATTGTTTTTGAACCAAAAACTGTTGATTTGGTCAGTGACCCACTAATCCAGGTGATCAAACAAACGACCCAGACAACAGTTTTTAGTTGTTTTTGTATTTTAATTATTTTTTAATTTTTTAAATTAGAATAAATCGTCCATTCAAATCAGATGGTTGGACCATTTGACCTGAAAAGCAGTGGCCAAAATGGTTCCATATCCGGTTTGGTCCAATTTTTAAAACCTTGGTTTAAGTGTAAAACCCGGTTTACTTTTGTTTCACACTTTCACTTCATCTTATTTGTTTGTAAGAAGTAAAGCAAGAAGCACAATGTAAGTACTCCCCACTTTATACGAGAGAGAAAAGAGGAAAGAGGAGAGTTATTTGAGAGGAGAGTATCATAGGAAGCAAGATGATGTGGTTTCCACTTTAGATGAGAAAGAATTGAAACAAGAGGAAAAATGGTACAAATTTTGCACCAATTTTTGAAATGCAAAATTTGCACTGTCAATGACTGCAGAGGATATGAAAATACAAAATTTCAATCAGATAGGGGTGTAAATATAATTATAACCAAGCATATAAAAAAAATTGCTTTCAGTTGAGATCGGCACCGCAAACAAATAGAGCCTAAATAAATAAATTGTTCTTCACTCAAATTCACATGGGATTGCCGGAGTTTAGTCAGAGAGTAAGAGAAAGTAAACTAATCAAAATTGGATAAAAATATTAAAGTTATTTGGTGAATATAACTTATCCATCAAATTATAATAGTTGGGATAAGCATAACCACTTTGATAAAATTGAAAAGTAAAAGCAAGACTGACAAAAAGACTATGTTAAATAAGTCTAGAATGCAATGGGTATAGCAAATTTAAATAAAATTAGAAAACAATGACATGTCCTTTTAATTTATGGTTTTTTATTGCAGAAGATTACTTTAGGCTGCATTTGGAAAGGATGCAAATGGAGTGTAAATCCTGGTTCATGGTAAATTTGCACTTTGGTTTACGTTTGCTTGTGTTTGGCAACATTATATTTATGCATTGACAAATGACAGACCAATGCATATTTACATTGATAATAAGATGTAAAAGTACATCAATAAAAAAAAGAAGTAAATTTGCATTCAATTGGACTTTTGATAAAAAAAAAAAAAGGTATATGTTTTATTGGAATTCATGTTTACATCTATTACAGCAAGTCTGTTTGGTAAGAAGGTAAATTTGTCAGTGCAAAATTAACCCAATTTTACAATTTTTATGAACCGTTTTACACTCTACATATTTGCATCATTTCCAAACGCAGCCTTAATCTCTTCCTCTGTTTTTGGTCATATTTGCTCGTAGACATCTTGAAACTTGTAATTCTCACTTAAAAGTTGGAGCATTCTATTGTATGGTCTCAACCGACTACCTCTATTCCAACTCTATTAAAAAACATGGAATGAATGGAATTTTGGTTTACTTTTGCTCCAGACTAGAACTTATAACATGGGCAGTGTGAATTTTATTTTAACTAGTACAATGTGTATAGCATTGGGTGTAAATGCATTTACATCAATTTTCATGGCATACAATTTACAATAGTAATGAGTGCAAATGAGACAAAAACAAAATACAAACCTTAGGGACGGAGCCAAGGGTGGGCAAAGGGGGATCATGGCCCCCCTTCTGCCTTGAAAGTCCCTACAATAACCATTTAATTCTTAACTAGATTTTGGTCCTCTACCCATGTTTTAGTTTTGGCCCTCCTATCCATGTTAATTAATTTTTGCCCTCCCCCCAAGAAAAAACCCTAGTTCTACTCTTGACAAACCTTGTCAGATATGATGCAAATCATAATTACAAATAAATAGATGTAAAACTGAACCAGATGCAAAATTATTGTCTGATTCAGATCTTCACTGTAACCAAACACAGCCTCAGGCTCAGTTTTCTTGCAGTGTGAATTCCATTTCGACAATTGTAAATGCATTAGAATGCAAATATTTGGTTCATTTTTTATTTTGTCTTATTTATAAGAAGTAAAATGATATGATCCTCTCCCCATTATATGAAAAACGAAAGAAGAATGTGTACAGAACATTGGCATGTTCACTCGTGATTGGTTCCACAGCCAAGTAAACACGCTTGTGTTTGCAACAGATCCCATACAACTAGGAAAAAGGTTATTTGTTTGGGAGTGAGATAGAAAGCAAGATGATGTTATCCCGATTATATAAGAGAGTTTTGTTTTATAAAAGAGGTTTAAGGTAAAAGAAAAGTGGTAAAAATTTTACATTAGTTTTATCCACTTTCCTCTTACCTTAATTCTCTCTCATATAAAGCAGGGGCAACATCATCTTGCTTTTGAATGGCAGAAGTTGAATGATAATTCTCTCTCATATAAAATGGCAGAAGTTGAATGATAACATTGGCTATGAGTTAGAGCACGATTACTGACTTAAAGGGCATCAACAGAATATGGTCTCAGTTATGTCTGAAATCTTGTTTCTTGCATTTGAACATCTTCCCTGAGGATAAATCGATTGAACGGATAAGACTAATTCGGTTATGGATGGCAGAAGGATTTCTCGAAAAAAAAGACCAGGAAATACAATAGAAGAAGTTGGAGAGAGCTACTTCTATGAGCCTATCATTAGAAGCTTAATTCAAATTGTAGAAACAACAAGTGATGGAAGAGCCAAAAGTTGCAGAATCCATGACCTTCTGCTCGAATTTATTCTTGCAAAGGTAAGGGACCAAAACATTTCAGCAACGTTGGATGTTGATGATTGGACGCCTATCGATCCATAGAAATTATTGTGGAAAACTAGCAAAAAACGAGAACCTTGTGCACCTTCATTCTATCCCAACTCATTTACCATAACACTCTTCTATGGTTGAAGGCTTCTGAAGGTGTTGGATTTGAGAGGTTTCGGAATTGAGTTGCTTTCAGATGAATTTATCAACCTGTTGCTTTCAGTTGATAAATGAATTTATCAACTCATTTACCATGTCAAT